GTCATTCTTGGCAGTATCATTGGTGCCCACGTGGAGAAGCAGGAAGGGGTAGCGATCCGGCAGGAAGGGGTACTGCTGTGACAAGCTGCAAAACCCTCTAGCCTGCACTTTCCCAGCATACATATAGGTAGGGACACACCCAGCTGCAGTTACATGCAGGATCTCTGACGGTCCCTGCATAGGAAGGCTTCAGTTAAGGCCACTCCCAGCTCCCCAGGTGCGCACCCCCTCTGAAGCCAAATTTATACCGTCTTGCACCGCACAGGGACTTGTGCAGCGTAAGCTCATAACATTCACTCCCTCTCTCTATGTGGAAAGGAATATGCAACACCCTTTGCCCCTGAGGTATGATTCCCACACACTTCACTCTAACTCACTGGTTTAGATAAAGCAAAAACAAGTTTATTAACTACAAAATATAGATTTTAAGTGATTCTAAGGGATAGCAAACAGATCAAAGCAGATCACTGAGCAAATAAACAAAAAACGCAAACTAAGCTTAATATACTAAATAGATTGGATATACCAGCAGACTGCAGATTCTTAAGGGGCAAGCTGCACTTACTTTAGAGCTTGGAAACCCCAGGTTCATTCACATCCCTTTAGCGGGAGTCCAGCACTTCCCCCAGTTCAGCCTTTGTTCCTCAGGTATTTCCAGGAGTCTTCTTGTGTGGGGAGTGAAGAACACAAGATGATGTCATTCCTTCCCTTATATAGTTTTTGCATGTGGCAGGAACCCTTTGTTTCAAAGCCTGGTTCCCAGGTCTGTGGAAAAATACTGACATCCCAAGATGGAGTCTAGAGACATGGTCTCATCACATGTCCTTGTAGAGTCATAGCAGCCATTACTCGGAGGCTGTCTGTAGCACTCTCAGGAAGGCTCCCTAGGTGGGAGATGAGCTTCTCCTAAGGTCTATTTTTTTCCTAATGGCCCTTTGCCCTGAATAGGCCCTTCCCCATCCACTACCTAGACTGAAAGCATCTTGTCTAGTGGGCTACACTAGACAAGATGTAACTACATTTGAAATACAAGTATATAGTCAATATCCATATCTTCAGCTACAAAAATGATACATGCATATAAATAGGATAATCAAATTTAGCAAATCATAACTTTTCCAATGACACCTCACATGACCTATCTTTCATAAAATGCATTATAATTATGTCATCATCATATCATAATAATATCACTATGAAGAATATGGGGTGCAATGTCACAGTGGGCTTTCATTGATGCACCCAAAGCTCCTTCAAAGGGATCTCGTCCCCAAAGCAAACCTATCAGCCTTGCCTTGTTGGCTGCCCGTTCGAGGCTGTTTTAGAAGATTATCGTTGATTACTCTCCAGCATTTCATAACTCTGCATCATTCCAGGTTGCTATGGTAACAAAGTGCATTCTTCAAGTGGGCTCAATTCAAATTCCACCCTGATAGGAAGTGCTGGACCTGCCTCTGGCTAACTTAGTGAGGAGGGCTTAAACTAGGTTCGACAGGGACAGGTGAGCAAAGCCCGCAGGTAAGTGGGGAACATGGAGACCTGGGAGATGGGTCGGAAACGAGAGGGAGTGTGGGCTATATTGGCAG